TACCCCAGAGCATGAGACTACCATGCTCAAAAGACCAATATAATACAGTATGGCAATAATGTTACATACATACATACATGATTCACTAAGTACAATTATCAATCTCAATCATCACGTGACACCATCTGATTCAAAAGGTTTCATGTTTAGGAGTTGTTCCTTGTCCCTTCCCTTGCAAGTAACAGTGAAACTATTTCACAAAAGCAACACATGGGTGAGGGTGATGGGTGGAGAGAGGCTCATCCGCCATTTCTCTAGAGATTATCCCCAATCCACAGGATATGCAAATGTGGCGATGACGGTTTGTCATTTGACATATGGAGAAGTGACGGGCCGGAGAGAATTAATTACAGCCAATATGCTTGACATACTTATCTGCATGATAACCCAAATCCGGACTCTTGAAAACTGGCCAACTATAGATGACAAACTAATCCAGGCATTGTTTTAATAACATGACGCAGTATTAACCAAATCTATAACACCAAATTATAGGAGCTGCTTTCTTTTGTAGGAAGCATGCAAGCACAAAACAGGGGGTTCAAAATCACACAGAGTTTTAGAAACAACATACTCAAATGCCTTTATACAATGTTATATAAAGTTGTACCACCTTCAATCACTTTACGTATTAAAACAAAGAGATTAACATCCTAAAGGACTGGAAACACTCGTAGCAAATTGACTTCGGCCAGACGGATTTCAGATGATTGAATTAAGCAGGCTTTTTGCAGGAAGCTCTCAGAGGTTAAGTAGAAAATCAATTATAAATCATTTACGTATATGACGCTTTATATGGTTTTGCACAGAACTTCCCTCAGCATGCATTACCCAGTAGCTGCAGGCTGGAGGCAAACAAGTCAACAGAAAAGGAAGGCATCTCACCTGATCGGCCCCATAGGCAGCAGCAAACTCCATAAACTCCTCAATACGAACAAATCCATCGCCATCTTGGTCTAAAGCATCGAACACAGCTTTTAGTGGGGAGACATCTTCCTCCCTCGTACTCTCAGCTGAGACCATTGGCAGTGAGTCACCTCCCACCATCTTAGAGAGAGATAATGTCTCCACAGTTTGCTCACTAGTCCATCCTGCCTCAGGAGAAGAATTGTGTAAGTCCTGAACTGAAAAATCAAAAGAAGCCATGTCGTGACAATCTGATCCTTCAAGCTGGTTATTGTCCGTAAACATCTCCTCTTCCTTCTCTTTAGTTGTTGTATCGGAAATACTTCCAATTTGTACATCCTCCTGAGGTTTCAAGTCCCAAATGTCTTCGTCGTGGACCTCCTCAGCAGTCAGGCACAGATCCAAAGCCATTGCCTCGTTCCCCTGATTTTTGGCTTCAGAACAAATATTCTCATCCATTAAATCCTTCGATTCATTTTCCACATGGCAGCTCTCACTGGTGGATTCACCCTGGATGAAGGCATCTTCAGCCGCAGGCACCGTCAGTGACGGAGGTTCAGCCGACAGACCCAGAGCAAATGAGTCATTCTCACCTTCTTGGTCTGAAGTCACATTTCTATTTACGGTAGCTCCTGCATGTTCCACCTCCGACTCCTCTGTTGATAAATCTAATGGCGCACCTGTGCAGATAACAGAGGCAGGACTGGCGGGGCACAGGCTGAGACTGCCGTCACAATCTGGAACCTCTGAATCCAACAAAGGCAGAGATCCTTCCAAACTCTCCAGCGGTGTGCTGTTGACGTGGTCATGTGGGAGGCAGTTCTCAAGTGCACCTATGCTGCAGGTAACAGGTAGATCAGTCACTTGATCAGGGAATAAACTTTTGTCTCCGGTTTCAGGTGACAAAGTCTCCCTGCTCGGTGAGGGAGGGAGTCCTGCCTGCTCCTCCTGTGACAGGTCGTCCTCACTGACACCCTGTGGGTTCAACTCACCCGAGGACTCTGCAGGGGGACAAGAGTTTTCATATGAGAGGAGATCTACCAACAAAAATGGATCTCCTGTGTTGGAAATTCTCGATGGAGAGCCCGGTACACTGAGACTTATTAGCCCAGCTTCACTACTAAGGGAATTTGAGCTCTCAAGAGGGGCTTCCTGCGTCAAAGTCAATTCCTCATGGGCTGTGTTTTTTCCAACCACATCAGTGAGTTTAGGAGAAAATAACCATGACAAAGTGTAGTCACTTAGTTCATCAGGTGGCTCAGTTTTTTCTGTGAAGGACAATTCCTCTATACAAGAACCATGGAGAGAAGCTTTGGAAATATTGGACTGATCTCCCTCAAACTGCAAATCTCCACAGGAAAAAGCAGAGATATTTATGAGGTTGTCCAACCCTGCCGGCTTGTCCTGGTAAATGTGTTCTTCTTCACTTTGTTGTGATGTTTGATCGCCGTTTAAGAAATCCAAACCTGTCTGGCCACCCTTGTTTTGACAGAGCACACCTCCATTGTCTGATTCCAGAGAGTGAAATCCGAGAGGAAATGGCAGTTCTGACTCCCACTGTGTGTGCCCCAAAGGGCCAGACAGGACTGTCGCTTCCATTGATAAAGCTGATCCACTTTACAAACGTCACAAAAGCTGGTGAATTATCTCACTGTCCAGATCCAGCTCTTCAACTTTAATGCCATGTTTTTAAATGGCATTACACATCTCAGATATGATATGAAAGTATATAAAGCATTGTCTACCTCATTAAAACAATGCAGGAAGGCTTTGTATTTTTTTTTTTAGAATGTAGAGTGGTAGGGGTAATTGCAATAAGAGGTTCAGAAAGGCAACGGATTAACACATAGTATATTGTGTTTTAACTTCAGCAATTGCCATCCACATCTTGACAACACTGTTACCCAAATTTATAATAAATTCATACTAAGTTACTGTCTTACCCTTACTGATTTTAATGAGTTTTGACCTACTATGTGACTCTCTGTCATGGCAGGTCCTCTCCTGGTTGTTTCCAAATGTCTCCGCTTCACACCATCCAACGCCAACATGCTTCACATCGGCCTGCAAGCTGGCATATCACAGCAATAACTCTTCAGAAATTAACTAACAAAAACGACTGACAACATATCCAACCGTGAGCCAATTTGAACAAATACAGATTAACACGTTCAGTCAACAGTTTGTCAACATTAGCTCAAACTAGCCGATTATCCTATCTTCTGCATCGCAAGCTAATTTGCTCAGGAGTCGAAAGAGCAGCGATGTGTTTCTGTAAACTAAACAAACCTCAAGTTAAAACCTCAAATCTCTCATTAGAAAGCGGTAAACTAAATATAACACCGACAGTGAGAACTACCAATGAATTTATGCTAGCAACTAACGTTAACTCCTCCTTCGAGCATCCCACTTCTGCCGTGCCATTGGCCAGAGAAGATGCTAACTGACTAGCTAGCGAAATTAGCCTATTAGCTAGCAGACACGAAAAGCAGTCTATCTCCTACCTCTCCGTGTTATATTACACCAAATGGTAGCTAGGATATTCCACTGTTTTAATAGGAAGCTAAAGACACTGTTGCCTTTGTTATAGTCCAATATTATGTCTTCATTTCGATACCGTTTTCCAGCGGCAAATCCACCTGTGTCAGGCCAGACGAGTGACGAGACGAAACCGATGATTCCACCTCAAATTCTCCTGTGATATCCGTCTCCAAAACACATCAGCCACTGCGTCCCATTTTGAGGTCAACAACGGAACAAAAAGGGGTTGAAATAGGACTAAAAAGCTCCATCATTTGGCAGTCAGTCCTCCGATGTTGATCACAGAAAACGGAAAGCTCTCGCATCAGCATCAGCAGTGTCCCATCCTCCTCCTCCTACTCCTCCAGCCGCATACACACCACTGACGTTTCACGCAAGCGTACAAAACACCCCGCAGTATCTGGTTTCATAGCAGCTATCAAATGGTGCCTTATGATTTGTTTTTGCACAATACCCAAGGGTTTTATTCTAGTCATCTTCCTGCACACATATGCATACATTGTGGGCAAGCATCTCTGCACCACATAGGTTAAAGTTCAGGGTGAGCAAGAGGAGCTTTCAGGGACTTCAGGATGGTAGAAGTTTCAGTCTGTGAAATATAATCAACATTTAATAAGACTTTAGTCACACCTGGAGACTAAAATTCAAAGGCTACCCTGCAGCATACACATTTATTAAAACTACCTGCCTCTTTACCAGCTTGATAAACACATCAATAATTGTTGTCAAAATATATAACATTATTCTGATATGGGTCAATTTGCATAATGACTACTTCTATTTTTGGTACTTTAAGTATATGTGGATGCTAATACTTTTGTTCTTTTACTTGAGTAACATTATGAATGCAGGACTTTTACTTATGACAGGAAGGAAATCCCACACTCTGGTTTTTCTACTTTTAGTTAAGTACAAGATCTGAGAACTTATCCCACCTCTGCTTGTAAGCATAAACTATTCAGTAAAATAATTACATTTACATTTAAAACAATATGTAATAGTTGGCAGACCTCAAGTGGAGAGATGTGTTTTGGTCATGTTAAGTGGTTGCAAATGTAATGTTTTGGCGCCCCCATCTGACTTACAGAAGTATTTGTTGTCTTCAGGTGTGCAATTGCTGTATCCTATTTTAGTCATAAAATAAAATGTTTCAGTCTGAGGAACACCAGAACAAACTATATTCAATTATAATTAAAATATGAATATTATAACATCCACATTTTCACAAGAGAAAAGTCATAACAAAAAAATAAGGGAACAGTACCACCAATGTCATATTTTCCTTAATCAACTTGTGGCACCTTAGATTTGGTAGGTAGGGAACCACTTATATAATTTATATTCGCCCTATTAATATAAATAAACAAGGGAAAAAATATCAAAGTGTCACTTAATAACGAGATATAAAGTAAAAAAACAAGTACAAATTCATAGCATCAATAAAATAGGTAAGATTAAGTAAAGCGTGTCCTTATGCCAGTCAAACAGAAAAGAAGGCAAGATGGAGACAGTAGTTGTACATTACTAAAAACAAACAAAAGTATTTGCCATAGTAAACTGTAATTATTAATGTTTTATTTATAAATGAAATGTATTACAAAAATCACATTAAACGGCATTTGATAAACATGACTATACATGAAATGCATGATGACGCTACACAGCATTGTAATTGGTAAAAAACCCGGAATTGTTATATAATTGAACTATTAAGATTATAAAATATAGCATTTCGTATATCTTTGTGTTAAACTCTACCAGCAATACATACTTAAAGCAAATACTGTACATGGCCAACAGATGGCCCCTAAATTAGTATTTTTTCAGCATTCACTTGTCTCTTTTCTTTTCAGATGACCAATAACCTGAAAAAAAGAAAGAAAATAAAAACAAGTGGATTAAATAGGGGTTACACTGCTGTATTCCTGTCATCAGAATTGATATCAGAGATGTGATACAATGCACAGAACATTCACATTTCCAGTCACACAGTCTCTCCACATGGAGAGCTGCACCTCCTCCTACACACCTGGGTCAGGAGGAGGACAGAGTATCCCCTGTTCAGAGTTTAGCAGATTTAGAGGCTATACCCATCAGCATGGAGACGTCGTTAGCGGAAGTCAGCCACGCTCCGCCGTCAGCCACCATGATGGCCCCCGTCACGTAGGAGGAGGCCCGGCTGGCCAGGAAGAGAGCGCAGTGGGCCATCTCTGTCTTGTTGCCCGCTCGCTGCAGAGGAATGGACTGAAACGCACCAGCAGCCTCGCCTCTGGGGCCACCTGAGGCATTAAGAGAAAAAGAAATACAAGCTCAGTTACATTGAAATACTGCTTCCGTTTATTGTTATTTTATAAAAGACTGCCAATTAATCCTCCAAGTTAAAAGTGCCATACAAATATTATAAATATAAATACCTATTCCACAAGTTTAATCATTTAACAAACATATGTGCTGATCCTAGCTACCAACTGATCATTTATTTTATGAATAATATCTATTTAAATGCCACTTATTTTACAAAATACCAGTGTTGTTAGGGTCAGGGTTAAAAAAGATAACTAGTACTATTATTATTACTATATTCTAGTGTGATTCTTTTGAGAATTTAAATGATAAGCATAAACTTTGAATTTGATGCATTGTTTGTGTCTAGGAATATAGCATGTAGTTGGCCAATAAATAAAAAAACATGATATAATGGATCAATCTTGTAGGAAATAGTAGAAAAAAAAAGCAACATTTTTAAGCCAAGGCCATTAATTTAAAAGTTTGATGTAACACAATTGATGTTTTTATGCTGTAATGGCCATGGGATCAAATCAAAGTGTGGTTTACATGGGTTTTTATGGGGACCATTTTTCCTTAAGCGTGAGACACAAGTGTTAATGGATTACCCATAAATCAGCTGTTTTTTGTCGATATAGCGTTAAATCTTTACCCAGTCTGCGGAAGCCCTCTGTGCCAGAGACAGGACCGGGAGCCACGGTGTTGACTCTCACCCCACTGGGGCCCCACTCCACCGCCAGGTGCTTGGTCATGGCATCTTGGGGACAAGATTCAGTCATTAGATTCAAATTGTAATATGATTTTATAACATTTAAAAAAGTTCTTACCATTTGCAGCCTTAGCAGAGCCAGCATGCACCTGAAGGGCCTGCCCCCTGTATCCAAGTGTTGCAGAGATGTTCACGATGCAACCACCATGATCCTTCACACAAAAATGATGGGAGTGTCAAAAACAATGCCATGGGTAAATTATGAAAATGAGCTTCAGACAGCAGAAGCATTTAAACACAAGGTAATCAATAATCTCTGATCTATACTGTCCTTTATTGGTGACCAAATTGAATTGCAATGAGTGAATCTTATTGAAATGATCAATAACACTTAACTAAGACTAGTGTGTCCTTAACTGAGACATATTGTGTCCCATAGATAGAAAGAATACTGTACCTGCAGCCACTTCTCATAAACCACCTTGCTGGTGTTGAATGTGCCCATAGTGTCTATCTCCAACACTGTCTTGAAGGCATTGAAGGAGAGTGACGAAGCCGGGCAGAGGAAGTTTCCAGCAGCATCTGTCAACAATAGCAACCATGACTTTAACCAAAGCCATTAAAGCTAGTGACGTAATAGTTTGTAAAGGAGATTAGGGTGCAAAGATAGAAGACAAAGATACACAGAATCTGAAAAGTTGATGATTAAACCAAAAACTTTCTTAGTTGTTTAAAGGTCATTTGCACATATTCACCATTTAGACAACTTTAAATGTATTGGCAACACAAACTAGGTGATCATTTCCAGACATGTTTTAAAGTGTTACATACTGTTAACGAGGATGTCAATGCGACCCAACTCTTTCAGGGTCTCCTCCACAGCAGCTGCGATGCTCTCAGGCTGCCTCACATCGATACACAGAGGGAGGCAGCGGCGTCCAGATGCTGCAGACAGCTTCGTAGCTGCCTAGAGTGACACAAAATCAGATTGTATAAGGCCAATACATTTAGTTATAATTTGAGATACAGAATTTATGGAAAATAAGTTAGAGGAATCACCTCTTTGAGCTTGTCCAAGTTCCTACTCGCAATCACTGTGTCACAGCCATGTCTGAAAGAAAAGAAGAAAGAAGAAAACACAAGTTTTTTTCACAAGTATGTAATGCTTGAATAGATTCAGCTGAAGGGAAGACAGGGGGATTCATTTAGGATGAAATAGTTAACAGAGTGAAGGACAGAAGTACTGGAAGTGAATGCAAGGTAAAAAGAAAAGGCCAAAAGCACACAAAAAATAACAATAATTGATAAATGTTAGTGTCAAGAGCAGAAGTTTCATTTGATGTTAATCTGGCTGCTTGTAAAATAGACAACAGGTAAAGTTACAAAGTGTTCCTCTAATTTAGCAAGAGAGACTTTTACCACATGAGTAGAGTATTGTCAACTTTGTCACACAAGCATAATTATGAATGTCAGGCTGTGAGATAACACAACCAGAAGGTTTAAAGTACATACAGTCTATCTCAGTCACACATTTTGCCGTTGATAAATAGTGACAACATATTGCTGAGAGAGCATTTATTCCTTAACATGGATTTATTCTAATATAACACATGCGTTCATAAGACCTGTGCATGTATGAATTAGATAAATTGGACTTTAAATATTTGTGATGTTCTTGAACTGGGCATGTTATGGCAAAACAATACGTTTTCTCACCTCATGAAGATTTCAGCTATCCTCAGTCCAATTCCAGATCCACCACCTGTGATAAAAGCCACCTGATCTCTGGAAAATAAGGGGGAAACCATCATAGATAATGTAATTAGAACAGCAACAAACATGTCAACAACTAGCTCACCTTGGCCAGTCAATGGACAATTATTTTCATACGTACTTTAACAAATCTGGACTGTAGATGTGTGTGTATGAAGTCAGGCAGTCATCTGATCCAACATCTTCAGGGAGCATTTCTCCTTTTTTCTGTGGCTCTGCCATGCTGATAGATAATGCATATAAATGTTTAGCAATTACATTGACATTAATCACAAAGCAGTATAAGACTGGGCTGTAAATGCATAACTTCCTCTTAAACTTCTGATTCGAAGTACTTGTGTTCACATTCTGTCATTTTCTACTAAATAAACAACAGTGGCAGCAACTGTCCAGAAGACATGTAACACATCCTGTGACAATACTTACTCATATTTAACAAGTGAGTCAAGGCAGTTACATAAAAAAGGTTATGGTGGCAGTTATCACAACGATGCACTTCAAGGCTTTAGCAACTGACTGAATCAACTTCACGCACAAAGTATCATAATGTAATGGTTGTATCTTATTTTGTCTATCCCTGTAAACATATCAAGTTACTTTAATGCTTTCTACATCTGCAGAGTGCAAACAGTTTTAAAATGTAAGGACTGCGCAGTGAAGTTTAGTTGAAGCTAGCTGCTGCTGTAGTTTTACCTTTTGAAAAAAACCAAGCTAGTTTGTTAGCGCTGAGACCGTCCAACTCCTTTCAAAGAAACACGACCTCCACACGAAGCAAGACGTTTCTCTGACGAGCCACCTTCACATTTATTATTCACCTTAGGTGTTTCTTTGCAGGGGACACTGTTTGTACCTTGGACGCTAACTTTTGCCTCTTTAGCCAGGCATTCTGGGAAATGAAGTCCGGTAGGGGTATGTTCAAGAGCACAAATATCTCACTGTCCAACTGTTGATTCAGACAAAGTTAATATAGGAAGAATGTCAGTGCTGGATAGTAACTAAACATATTTTCTTAAATACTGTACTTAAGTACAATTTGAGACAGTTGTTTTTTAATGCAGTATTTCCATTTCCTGCTACTAAATACTAGATCTGAGCACAAAAGATCTGAGGCAAATAATACCCTTATTACTTTCTTTGGAGAATCTAATCATAACAGATCATGTATTATTATAGGTTGAAATATCAACTCGATGATATAATAATTTCTTTCAAATGGGCTGTTGTGCAGAATGAGTTCTTTTTTTAGTTGCTAATTCTTTCATACCTTATTTGAAATGACATTTGAATACAGGACTTTTAATTGTAAAACAGTATTTCTTCACTGTGGTATAACTAATTGTACTTAAAAGTAAACAATTTGAGTTATTTGTCCACTTTGTGAAGGATACACACATAAAACAGGGTTAGAAAATAGTATAAGTAGACGTTAGAGGTCAGAGTTGATTTATTTAATTCTAGAAAGTATATCTGACAGCACCATGCTCTAGGGAGTGTACAGTCTCTAACAATCTGGACAGCTTAGAAGAGCCCAGTGATTGTGTTGCTCGTCTACAATAACCATCATCCTCTGGGAAGGCACCAGCGCGAGCCTCCACTGGTAAACCAACACTGAAATAAACGATCCAGGGTTTACAGTTTCAGGGAAAATGATGATCGGTGTGCATTAGAGCAGAGAGTGTCCCGTATTGATCTGTACTTTGGGATTCACTGTTGGAAAAAGCCCTATGCAATGGATCTCTCAAATACTTTTGGGATGGGTATTCTGCACTGAGAGGTCTGAGACGATTAGAAAATGAGATGAGTGCTTTTGTAACTTGATTTGTTTTTTAAGAGGCAAGAGTAAACAAGAGCAAAAGCAAAACAAAAAGTTAATTAAATTAGTTTAGTGCTAATTCATTTTATACCAGAGAAAGGTTAAGCAGTGTGGCTTTACCTCAAATGACCTTATAGTGTTCGACTTCTTACTGTACCTACCGTTACTGTATATGTTTGAATGTGTTCGCTTTTTCTACAATATCAATATTTTTAGTCAAGTATAATACATTACACAAACAATTCCAGAAGAAGTATTTAGCATTTTCTGATTTTTGTGAATATTATAATAAAAAAAATGGTACTGTATGGGAAGTGATTTGCAGTCCAATGCAGTACAATGCAATCTGCAATGAATAACCATTAACACGTTTAAAGCCGATCATATTTGTACGCCCCCATCGCCATCAATGGGACTACGGTGGAGAGAATCAGCAGCTTCAGGTTCCTCGGTGTCCACATCACTGAGGACCTGACATGGACTCTTCACACCATCACCATCACCAAAAAAAGCTCGACAGCGGCTCTTCTTCCTCCGCAGGCTGAGGAGTTTCAACATGGACTCCAGGATACTCTGCAACTTCTACAGGTGCACCATAGAGAGTATCCTGACTGGCTGCATGCCTGCATCACGGCCTGGTACGGCAGCTGCACCACCATCAACCATAAGGCTTTACAGAGGGTGGTGAAAACTGTACAGAACATCACCAGGACGGAGCTGCCATCCATGGAGGACCTTTACTCCCAGCGGCTCAGGAAGAAATCCCTCCGGATTATAAAAGACCCCCATCACCCCAGCCACAAACTGTTCAGTCTGCTACCGTCTGGCAGGCGTTACCGCAGCATCCGGACAAAAACCACCAGATTCAGAGACAGTTTCATCCCACAGGCAATAAGACTGTTAAACACCTGAACTGTTGAAACAACATCCATAACATTCATCTGCTACTTAGTAATTATTTATCTATTTATCTAATATATCATTCCAATAGCTTGCATATAGACTCTTATTTACTTCCACTATATTTTTCTTTTTATCTGTATTATTGTGTTGCACTGTTGGAGAAGCCTGTGACCTAAGATTTTCGACATAACTAGTCTGTAGCTATGTTCGTATGACAAATAAAGAACCTTGAACCTTGATATTTCTATTATGGATTACAAAAAGTAATCTACAAACTGGCTTCCTTATCAGGTTTACATACATTCAATCAAAGGCTTTCAATATAAAGAAAACATTTACACACTTGAACAAATCTGCACACCTAGATACATGATGAGCAGTGTTGTTTGCATGATCTGTAAGACAAATGACAAAAACATAAAACTACCGTCTGTATTTAGACTCTAGCAGCCAGATGGCGCTATTTGTCATTATTTTCTGCTTCAATCCACAATAATAACCATTTGCAACTCTCTCAATGTGAACCTGCAGTAAATATGTATAATAATGCCTTCTGCTGTAAATACATGTGGTTCAAATGACTGACTGGGACTTGACTCACTCATTTTCCTTATGTCTGTGTGAGATACTGTCTGTGCTTATGTATAATGTGATTTCAGGGATGAATTCTCCAGGAGGCATAACACTAAAGTATTGTGTAAAAGTAGCCCTTAAATAAGTAGAAAAGTCAAAGAAACAAAGTGACTCACTAATGTTCATTACATGGCAATATCTGTTTGAAGATTGCCAACATTAGCCTCTATAGGCTACGGGTCATATCAGACCAAATGAGGCGGAAGAAGCAAACCCCTGAGTATATTAAAGAGTGTGTTTGTTTAAGACATTTTCATTTGCAGGGTAATGAAAGTGCTAATATATGACATAGTGTCACTTTATTGGAGTACACTGTGCACAATTGTACATAAACTTCTTATGTTCATATCAATGTGCTGATTTTTTATGTTTTATTTATTTAATTTCAAAATAAATGAACTGTCACAAAACCCAATGTCCCCCAGGATAAATAAAGTATTTTCATTCTGATTGATTGATTTAAAAAAAGAAGTCAGAGTCCACTTTCAAAGGCTGCCATGTTTTAAAGAAAATATCCTGATGCAGGAACATGAAGGCTTGTACAAAACAATACATTTACAGAGACAAGCAGACACTCAGACTCAGACAGAGAGTTGTTTCAGCGCGCCTGGCACAGCTCAAGCCATAAAAGGTCCATTATCCCCTGAAGGTCCAGAGGCCAGCTACAGGCCCTCAGCTCCCACATCTGCGCTCTGTCCGCTCGGCTGTGTGAGGGCCGGCTGGGCAGCTCTGCTCTGGACCTCTGTCGGGGGCTTCAGTTGTCCTTCTTCCTCCAGACCCACCAGCCTGCTGCTGACCTCCCACAGCCTGAGAGCCACGTCCTCGTCCAGAGCCTGAGGCCACGGCTCCTTTTCTGTCATTACATCGTAGTACGCCCCCGTCACCCCCTCCACCTCCTCGGACACGGCCAGGTAGATGCTGGGCTGGGCCCCCAGCTCTGGGCTCTTCACCAACAGCGTGAAAAAAGGACCTGTAGGGGGGTTCAAAATGAAAATGTTTTATTTGTATTTATACATACAGTTAGAGCATAGTTGTTGACATTACAATATTAAATCCAAAGCACATCCAACAATGCAACATAGAGAATACCTAAGATATAAAAACATGTTAGTGCAATAATAAAATGCAGGAATGAGTAAAGTATGAAAATATAGGATGGAACAAGTACTAGAATACTGTACTGTAAAACAAAACACTGTAGACTAATGATGTGTATATGTATAAATATGTAATACATGAACAGATACCTTTGTTACTGAAGTACCATATCTCAAGATGGTTAATGGAGTTTTTTAAGTGGTATTGCAACCTTTACTTCAACAAAGAATCTAAATACTTAATCCAACACTGACTTTAAACCGTGGAAATAATTTAAAATCAAATAACATCTACACTTGGTTGTCAGTAGGACACTTTTTATAGTAGCAATGCAGTCTGTTAAAGTGTATTTATGCATACAGAGTAGATAAGAATAGACTAATGCCATGTAACAGAGTTCATACAGTCCAAGGTAATTTGTGCATTTGCATTAGATTAACATTTATTGATTTCTCTAAACTCAGACTCCAATAAGGAAGCAGGATACTCACTGAGCACAGTGGTGGAAAACTGTGATTGGTGCAGATTGGTGTGCCTCCCGAGCTCCGTGGCAACAACGCCCGGGTGCACAGCATTCACTGTGACTCCTGTGCCTGTTACACACACACACACACATTGTTTTAAAAATACATATCCAATGGCCAATTACAAAGAAGAACACAGTCCCTACTCCCTCCCACACATGCCCACATAGGCAGCAGCCAGTGGACTCGCCTTGTAATCGCTTGGCGAGCTCTCTGGTGAACAGAACATTGGCAAGCTTGCTCTGACAGTACGCCTGCTTGGTATCAAACTTCTTTTTCTCCCAGTGCAAGTCCTCGAAGTCCATCTTTCCAACGATGTGGGCGAGGGAGGCCAGGTTGATCACTCTGCTGGGGGCGGACTCTTTCAACTTATCCAGCAGAAGATTTGTCAACAAGAAGTGGCCTGGAGGAAGACAGGTGGTGATCGAGTTCAGATATTTACATTCAAAAAAGCTTACATTCGGAGAGTTTAGAAAAACTCAGTCTGATTTAAATGAGGTACCTAGGTGGTTAACTCCAAACTGCAGGTCGAATCCATCTTCTGTCTTCCCTTCTGGACATCTCATGACCCCTGCATTGTTTATCAGAACATCCACACGCTGCTCCTCTGCAAGACAATAACATAGATTTTAAGATGTTAGGATGTTATTAGGATCCCCATTATCTGATGTAAAGCCACTCTTCCTGGTTTCCACACAAAACTTGACAACAGACATAAATCACTTACTGATAAAAAACAGCCATATGATCTTAAAATGGTATAACTATAACTTACAATCATATTAAATAAGCTTTTATGGTGTGCTTCATCTCTATAACTGAACACATAACTGTAGTGACAGTGACTTGTTTTGTTTCCTCACTTTGTTTGATTTTCTCTGCAAACTGTCTTATGGATTTCATTGAGGCCAGGTCGAGTTGGCAAGCATAAACGTGAGGATTCAGGGTATTCCCTCGTATTTCCTTGGCAGCTGTCTCGCACTTTTCCATGTCCCGACATCCCATAATGATCCGACCCCCTGATGATACCAGAATGGAGAAAGAAGCATGTCATTGTGAGCAAAATAACAACTGAAGATTGTATGACCAAATCAGATATTTGCTCCACACCTCTCTTTGCCAGGTCCCGGGCGGTTTCTTTCCCGATGCCGGTGTTTTGCTCCCGTTATCACCACAGTCTTCCCATTTAAGGTAGCTTTACTAGTACACCGGCCTCCAGTCATATGTTCCCTATAAGAATAATTAGTTTAGGGCCATTGCATTTAAACAAGCCTCCTATTTCAGCATAAAACACAGGACATCTCAGTTCTGTCTCTCTTGCTTCCTAATGAGCCTGGACTCAACTTTGTCTATCTTGTCTACCTTACCTGTCTGTTTACATATTATAACAGCCGCCAATTGATCAGCCCAATGCTTTCACTCAGGAAAATCTTTATACAGCAGGATAGAGAGCTCCTTTTATAAGCTTTGTCAGATGGGAAATGATAAAATATTGTACCGGAGGCTGAAATTAACATTTATTGAGGAAAATCATACTCAAGTTATATCCAGTACAGTCACCTCAAGGGGCCCAGTACAGCTCAGGGTTTACTGTGCAACTGATTTGTGCTATTTAAATGGTTTGGGAATATGCAGCACTTAATCACAATATTAACTGATGCAATAAGGGCCGTAGCTAAGTGTAAAATGTATGCATGACTCCTAATCATAAACATAAGGGAAACAACCCCTGCGGATTGACTATGGCTGTGTAGTGTTTTTAAAGTGGGCCAAGCTTTATTGCAGTTACCTGTGTCAAAATCTAAGTTAAAGGTCCCATGTCATGGCCATTTCTACTGATCATAATTCCATTGTTGAGGTATACTAAAATAGATTTATATTGTGCAATTTTCCAAAATCACATTGGTTTCTCATACAACATCTCTGTATAGTATGTGTATTCACTCTCTGTCCTAAACGGCTTGTTGGAGCTCCTGCCCCCCCCCCCCCTCCCTCCCTGTGAGCCCAGTGGCCGTCTGCGAGACAGCGAGTCCCAGCCTCGCCGCGTCCCGCCGTCTCAGGGAGGAGAAATCGGCGGAGTTGCAGCTGAGAAAAGATTGACAGTGTGTGTGTAACGTAACGGCTCCACGGATTGGGCCATTTGGACCAATGGGTCCATTTGGGTATGGGCACGTCACTGTACCCAGGAAGAAAACAATGGAAAAAGAGAAATCTCCAACGAGGCGTTCTGGGACAGCATAGACAGGTCTTTTCTGTGCTAGAGTTTTACTCGCTACAGGGTGTACTTTGAGGGTTTGTGACTCTGCAGACCGTTTACATGCATAAAAACCTTCATAACACACAAGGGGACGGGTAATAACCGTAAAAGCATGACATGGGACCTTTAAGGTCCTTTTTTCAGTGTTGTGGTACATATTGGATATGTTGAATTGGTTGCACAACAAACTTGGGGACAACCAGCCTATTAATACTGTTCAAATTGCATAAAGATGGGGCCAACCAGCTGAACTATATCCAAGAAAACCCCTCATAGGTTTATTCTGCCATGAATCCAGTTGTGTGACTGAAACACACAATGTTTTTGTTTTCATCACAGTCTTGAACTTTTGACCTCACCTTCAAAAAAAGGTGTTTGTTCCTTGACTTGAACTGAATGAACTATTGAGGCTCATAACTTCATGTAAACCACTGTAAGTGAGATAACACAGAAAAACAAAGAATTCCCCAGCGTTCACACAATCCTTATTAACTGTGGATGAGTGAGCAGAATGTCATTAACACCTTTACATCTACTCAATCCAATACATCCACCCTGTTATAAAAGCTGCCTTTATGAAGAAGATATATGTATATAACTGGGCTGTTCTTTGTGAAAATGTTGTGTACTGGTTTGTATATAACAGCTTAAGTGTTAATCACTCATAATGGGAGGAAATAACATACTACTTAAGCATACTTAAAACCTAAACCAATGAAGCTAACTTCAACCCAGTACAACAAAAAGTAGGTTTTGAACCAACTAGACATTATATTAAGTAAATATATTGTTAACTAAGTCTGAATGTAAAGCTAACACTGTATTCAGCAGCAAATGTGACACATGCAGTGTGAAATGTACAGTTACATCATGATACAGAGACAGTCATTTGTACTCACTTCAGTAAAACAGCAACTCCAAACACTGTCCCAAAGACAGAAACTGGTAAAATATATTTGTTCATGACTACCGAATATCTCTGAATGCTAAATATAACATTAAAATATGTTTTAACGCCGTTTCAATAGCTGGTTTTACAACAACACTGCACACTAGCACAAGGTTACATGCGCATGTTTTTAGCGTCATCAACTGGTGCCAACCAACAGCGAGGAGCAAATACCAAGTGGAATTGTGGGAAATGTAGTCCCAATTGAATTAAACACATAAAACAAGCAATAAAATAAATGTTAGTGTGTTTTTTACTAAATTGTTCCATGAAAATGTATTCAGGATGAGGGGTACAAGGGGTACTGTTAAAATGAAGGTGTTTTTAATCGATATAACTGATGTATGTATTGATTTCTGTTCATTTCAAAACAAATCTGTACAATTACTTTTAGTGGTTGCTTTAACATATTATATTTATGAGAGCTCTGGGAATATAAACTCCCTATTGTGCATATACTATTATTTTTTTATCATTAAAAACGTACATTTGCATCACTCAATTGCATTTATATGTGTTACATTTGGATGAGAATTTCACTGTGACTGTCGCAATTGGGATTATGAAATTCAAAATTAAATGGAGGGTTATTGAAGGATTTAGACAGATAAGAGGGGGACCATATGACTCAGTGGGTGGTGTGACTGTAAATAGCTGTTTTTTCTGTTATTGAATAGTGAAAACAGATGTACAATCAATTATGTTGTGACTACAGTCGGAAAGTTATTTCTGTCTTTGGGGATATAAGGGAGACTGAAAGAGTGAAAAAGCTCAATTACGAGCTAAAGTAGGAGACGGAGAGGGGCAGCTGAGGAGGGTCAAACACCAATGTGTGAGGTGTTGGAGCAGGAGCTTTAGTGCTCTGTACGCCAGCAGCAATAATATTTACAATTTTTAACTTTTCCTGGTACGCCATATGTTCGCTAAAGTTAAATAAATCTCTCTTTTGTTCAAAGTTTAGGTACCTGCTGTTGGGAGCAAATGTTGCTAAATTCTCCAGAGATTTAGTTGAATTCAGTTCTTTGCACAAAGTGTTGTTGTTGGAAAATTTCACAAATAAGATAGGGGAAAGTGTTTTAAGTAAATACTGCTTGTTTACTTTTAGACAACTCCCTTCACACTTTTCCGTATGCTTAAATAAGACAAATAAGACTTGAATACTTTCAGACACTTTCATTTGGGTTTGTGGCATGTCCTGGCAGTTTGGGCCATACATTCTTTGCAGTAAAATGATGTTCATTGGATTTTCTCGTCAAGTGAAGAACCTTGAATTTCTTTTTAACAAGATATATTCTTTAGTTTTGTTATAGATAGCCCTAACCCAAAAAACAGAGCACTGTCCCCAACCCCTCTGTTTATAGGGCAGCTAGAACACAAAGTTTCCTCCGTATGAAGATGAATTTGAGAGCAGTGAAATAACAAGGCCACCCCTTTACAACAAGAAACTTGAGGTGACACAAAAAAAGTAAAAACTAGGACATGAGCGTGGTGTCTGAAGTGCAGAGAGGAGGAGCAGCTCTGCTCTATTTGTTCCCAGCTCAGAGGTGTGTGTCCCCCTAGTGTGTTTGACCCCCGATGCTCTCTGCTGTCAGCCCACGGTGCTCGACCTTCTGTGTGATTTATGAGATGACCCCGAGGAAACTCTCTGCCTGTTGGCCCGTTCTGCAGTGTGTGAGACACCTGAATGTTTCAAAGAGGTGATGAAAACTAAGCTATTCAATATCCACCCATTTCCATTTCATTATCTTTTTTTTCAGAGGCTTCATTCTCCCTATCTTCCTGATACTAGGCTTATTCTGGAAACAGTTCACTCTTTTTTACAGCCTCAGCCAGGGGCAAATTGTGAGACAATAGGCCCCCGGGCACAGGCATGTTGAATGCCCACCCACGTAGAAGCAGTAGTCATTTTGTGAATGTTTGTTGTCTCTTTTTTACTATTTGTGGTGTGTTGTGATCTCTTTACAGTAAAGTTGTGTCCCTTGTTGTGACACATTTTTGGTAATTTTTAGATAATTTTAAAATAATTGTTCATGTCTTTTTTGGATCATTTTGTATTTGAATGTATTTATTTAAGAAGAGACAATGCACATTAATTAACATGAGCACTTGAGTCCATCATGTAAATGTTCCAGATTTAGCCACAGAGGCTAATTTGTGATCAAGTTATTTCTCTTAGTGGTAATGATGTGATTACTTTCGGCCATTTTGAGTCTCATCCCGGCCGGTATGTGTTTCTTTGAGTGACATTTTGTGGGTGAAGGCCAAGGGGGGCCCTGGGGGACAATATGGTTCCCTGGACCTGTGCCCGTCAGACCTGTTCAGTAATCGAGACATGATCTCATGAGCCTGACATGCATCTCTTTAAAGTAAATCTGGGCTGGCAGAAAAGAGAAAAACAGAACAAGTATACAATCCATTAATATAGGGAATAAAAAGCTGCTCCTCTGCATGTATTATGTGACTGACATTTGATAGCCTGAGGCCAAAATAAGATGAAGAAACTTCTTATCTCTTCAGAGGATCTAAATGAGCATTACCCATAAACCCTTCTGATCAGTGGAGTTTAATGATGGAGCATTAAGGTTATCCCTGTTATGTCGATGCTGTTTTCTCAGTCCAATCTGTTCTGCTTGGCAAACTTTGTCTGGCATGAGGCCTGTTGTTAAACATGTACAGTATACGGGTGGCTGCCAGGGCGCTGAATTAATTGAAAGTCTTGCCTGGCTCTTACCTAATAAGGACAGTTGGCAAAGTCACAGTGCGAAGTAGCCTAGCCCATAAGCTGTTGAATTATGCAAGGGTGGAGCAGCTTGCTCCTTCAAATCATGAATCAAAAGTAAAGAAAAAAAACTCATGGAGGCATTGAGGATGGTTGTGTGAAGGCAGAGGTGGGAAAAGTACTCAGATCTTGTACTGAAGGAAAAGTAGAAATACCACAGTGTCGGAATACTCTATAGAATCAAAATATACTTATAGGTGTTTGATAAATGAAGTGGAGTAAAAGTATACAATTTACCTCTAATTTGTAGTGGGGTGGAAGCAGTTGTGAAAAGTCGCAAAGTACAATTTTAAGGTACTGTACTCTGCTTTTACCCGACTACAATTAAAAGGTAAATCGTGTACTTTTACTCTTACTTTGCAGATTTGGATTAATGATGTGAAATATAATCAACACATAAATAAGTCTTTAGTTACACCTGGAGTAAATTCACAAGATACCGTGTAGTATACAAAGTTATTTAAATTAGCTGTATTTTCGCTAGCTTTGATAACACTTTAATGCATCAATAATTATAATCAAAATATATAATATATATTATTCTGTAATGGGCCAATCTGCATAAGGAGTACTTTTACTTACTGTAGCCTACTTTAAGTCTATTTTGAACCTAATCGTTTTGTACTTTTACTTGTAACAGAGTATTCCTACGTTCTGGTATTTCTACTTTCACCTCAGTATAAGATCTGACCTTAACCCAAGTACAAAGTAGCAAAAATTGAAAAACTCCAGTAAATTAAAAGACCTTCAAAATCCTATTTACAAGTACTTGAGTAAATTAGTAACTTTACAACACTGGGAGCAGGCACTAGGACCCAGGACACGTGCGCGTATTAGTTAGCCAGAGGGTGGAGACGGTGAACAATGAGGGAGCTGACTGGTAGGACCAGCAGAGGATCCGAGACCCCCCCCCCACACCCAACACCACCCCACCCTCACCATACTCAACCTCAGAGTCCCGCTGGACTGACGGACACAGCAGGCTGACCCGCAGACAGTGAGAGACACCGTTTTTGGAGAGAGTGGGAACATTGGTCCATGCTGATGCTGCAGAGCGCAGAGGTGTTGCATGCGTGGATGTGCGTGAATGGGTTTGCCTCCGCGTGTGTGGTGCTGAACTGGGTCATGCGGACCACTGGAGGAGCGAGAGATAAACACTCCTCCTCCTCCCGCTGCTTGGCAGGTTGAGATGGTGGGCGCTCAGAGGAGGGATCCCAGCCTGTCTCCTCATCTCTGCCTCCAGCGTCAGATGAGTTAATCCGCCTCCGATAGAAAAAGTAAAAAAAAGAGCATCTCCAGAAGCAGGACGGGCATCTTCTCTCTTCTTCTTGGGCGGGCAGCAGAAGGCACTGAAGAAATCTGAGTCAAGCTGTTTTTTTCAATGGACCTGCGTGTTTTTAAGCACCTTTAGTCTACCTGATCGATAAAAGAGAGGCTTCGTCCGTCAGTTTCCTGCAGAGCCCGGTGGAGCAGAGCAGCTCTGATGCAGGACCATGGAGGAGAGAGACAGGTCGCCAGCAGGTGAGTGTGTAACACCTAGATGCACCCTGAGGTGTATGCAAGTCTGAAAGAAACTGATATATGTAAAAAAAAAAAAAACCTGAGTCAAAACAGGGGTGAACATCTGTGTGTTTTTTTTCCTCTTCAATGCACACATTCTTTGCCTTTTATGTAGTTTTTTTATTTAAATAGCTTCAATTTAACACGTCATTCTGATTATTGTGTTCTGAACCCACTCTCATGGACAATATTTATACTTTATACATTCACCTTTATAGTGTATAGCCCATAAAGCATCAATGCCAGCAGCTTTATTTACAATCATCATTAACTCTTTTAATGGTTGAGCTTATTAAGCGATTTAATGTGCATGTACTCGTAAAACAAGCACCTTTTTGCTTTCCCCATGCTTTTCTGATACGGTCATGTGCTAGATGGATGCGAGGACATCAGTGGGAATCCACTTAATGGCCCTTTATACTTTGCCCGGGGCAGACAGGTGATATCTCTCATCGTTAATGCTGTCTAATGCATTTAAATGAGCAGATGACTTGATAGAGCAGCCCTCGTAAAAGCAAAGTCTGGAGGATGGTAATGGACTCTAAATGAAAGGGAGGTAGCCTAATACACAGGGCTTTTTCAGAAACATTGTTTTGATGGAGAGAGGCAGCAGTGATGGCTGAGAGCTTTAAAGGAGAAGTTTATCCCAAAATCACATCCAATTCAGAGTCAAAGTTGCTTTTATAAAAGGTATGTGTAGCTTATAATGGCTCCAAACAATGTACAAACTGTAAACATACGGAATGCTTTCAGTTTGAAATACTGTTCTAACATCAGCAA